GCTGAGGCCACTTCAGCATGAGTTCAATCCCTGCCCCAGAGGTGACCCACATGGCGTGGCAGGCTTCTCCTGGCCCTCTCGCTGCTCCCCTCAGCAGTGTACTTTGTCGATCTGCCTGTGTTGTTCCCCACTCTATCTCTGGTGAATCCTCTCACTGCCCCTGAACCTCTGGCCTGTACCCCGGTTCTATATACATAAACAAACAAATCTTTTAAAACTAAAAAAATAAAAAACAAACAAAAAAACCCATGAAACAAGTGAACCAGTATGTTTTAGTGGCTTTCATTAGCTCCCAAACAGGAAAATGAAGGGTATCACCAAGATCCTAGCAGCAACTGCATTTGAGTATCAAAACACTTACAATATATTCAAACTGTAGATGTATAATCAAAAGAATACAAAGTTTGCCACAAAAGTCCCAACCACCCATTGTGAGAGAAAAATGGAATGAGGAGAAGGCTGTGAGGAAAGTTTAAGGGCACAGTAGAAATGGAAAGAAATGATGTGAATGCAACTACTGACAAAACCAGAACTTGTAACCTTAAGTCAAGTTAAACTGGTTATTTGAACCTCTTAAAACCACCACACCTCTTACATGTTAAGAGTTTTACACTATTGCCTTCTCTATGTAAACATTCCCAGTCTCAACTAGGTGAAAGTTGCTCTTTTAATCAATAAAGGATGTCTCCCTGCTACCATAATTTTTAGTGCTTAGACTTAAACGAGCAAATTCCCAAAAATTCAACAACTATTGGCATTGCTAAATCAGAACTACATGCCTCTGCTTAAAGAAAACACAAGTATAATTTAAGTTTACAGATAAAAAAAAATCAATACTGACATTTTAAAAAATCATACTGACACGTCTTATTATCTTACCCTTACTTTTTTCTCAGATAAAATAACAAATCTAACTAGAGAAAGATAAATGAAAGATTATCAGAGCTTTGTTTCATAAATAGGGAATAATATACAGCCATTCCATTACTATTCTTCATTAATTACATACCTCATAGAGAGGTCTTCTAAAACATTTATCATTTTTTTTCTTGTCTTTAGAAATTTTCTGCCTTCCCTTCATTCTAATTTCTTTACTTCAGAAAGGCTGACAAATGACACAGCACATTAAAGCAACAGAGAAAAAAATTCTTCAATCTCAGTTAATTGTTCCTTTTATTTCCTTATAACAACATGGTCTAACAAGCAATTGTGAGCAGATACACATCTATCCTTACTACAGATGATGTAAGAGGCCCTGATAATTAATGGTAAGAATCTGGTAAAGCAAGAAATATCCAGTATCACTGACCAATATTGGTAAAAACAAATGCAAGGATGGAACTTTAATTTGTCCATGGAAAACAATTTAAACAACTTTAAGATAATTTTCATCCAAGTAAATCTTGCAGGTTCTTTTAAATTAAAAGTACTAATTACTTCTAGGTATTTTTCTCTCCTTTTTGTTCTCATCATTGTGCTGTAACTTTTTTAACTAGCAAAATTTACAATGTTATACTATCGGACAAATTTTGTTGCAAATAGATCTTGGAATTTTTAATTCCAGGCACATTCAGTATAATCTTAACATTTCAAAGTCTTACTTTTCTTCATTTGTAAAACAAGGATAACAGGAACCTCAAAATTGTCAACTTCCATTTTACACTTCTAAAAGTATGTTTTTTTGACATTTTAATGAGTTCTGGATTAAATGCATTTGATATGCTTGGAAAAAAAGAGGGCGAACTTGTCATATAATGGTAGGAATATGAGGACTTTTAATCAGACTGTCATAAGTTGTATGACCTAGTTATTTAAATTCTGCTTCTGAAAATGGTGTCTGCACTAGACTTACACAAATTTTTATACATGTTAAATGAGTTAACAATAATTGCAAACTACCATTTAAGTGTTAGAATTATCAGTATGATGGAGAAATGTAGTATTACTTATGTTAAAACCACTAAAGTTATTTAGCATTCATATATGCCACATTGATGCTTACCTGTCAGTAAGTAGTGGTCACTAAAAAATACTTCTTTACATGACTTGAGTAGGAAGATATATACACAGATGTGCAAATAATATAGAAACCTTAATCAGTTACAAATTTTCCCACTAAGGAGTCACTTCTCTAACTCACTTCCATCAAAAAAAAAAAAAATTCAGGAGTCACCAAGACAAAATGAGAAAAAGAACATCGGATGCTATTTTGTTAGGAAGGTTAAAACATACTGTATTCTTTGGATATAAGCACATTTTAGATAATTTATAGGCAGTATGTGTTCAGTCCCCTTATGAATGAACATGTGCAAAAAATCTACATTTTCTTTTAAAATATCATGGAAAAGACTATAAAAATTTGTTTTTTGGAATAATTCAAATGCCTGAACCTGCAAAAATCTCAGTTAAAAAAATGTGAAAGGGCTTAATTTATATGTAGTCTTCTTTATGTCTTTTTATAAATTAAACTTTTAATATTCTATTCCCTTCCATTATACTGTAAAGGAAAAAAGCATGCAGAAGTCAAAATAAATTATAAGCATTATCTACATAAGCTGCCAGAGCTACGTGCTGAAAAGCATTCCGAGTGCAAGTGATCCAGAGGCAGAAAGCACCACACATGGAGGATTTTGGATAGTTGCCTGGAGTTAGGTCAACATTTTCCTCATTCTTCTGTTCCTGGCCTTTCAATGCTTCTAAGTCTTCCTCAGGTGGATGAATTACTACGGTGGGAATATCATCACTGGCAGATGAAACCAGTAGCTCTGGGGCCTGAGGCTGACTCTGTTGGGAACTTCTGGAGGCCAGCCGACTGCTGGTAGGACTGGAAGGAGGACTGTTCTGAGGGGTGGGAACTGGGGTTGTACACCTCGAGCCTGCAGAGGTTCCAGCTCTTGAAGAAGGAAGAAGATGACTGAGAAGAAGAGATAAAGGCGATTCTCCTCTCAATGAAAGGTTTGAGGCAGACAGACCTGTTCGCAAAGAGTGATGGGAGGCTGAAAGGCCATCCCCTGAGATAAAACAAATAAATGAAAATGATGAAGTTCAATGCAGAAGGCAAACAGATACAAAAAAATCAATTTATACTGTAAATTGCAAGCTTTAAATAAGGCCCCAAATTTCAAATTCATGCTCTCAGGGTTAGCAAGCAATCAAATTTTTAAATGTTAGAAAGTTGCGTTACATTCTAATTGGTCCCCTAAAAGTATACCAAAAACAAACAAAAACCCAAAATAATGTTAATGCTGCATGGTTGGGAAGGTAAGGATGAATATTCTGTTAGTAATTAGAATGCTCAATAACGTAGCTTTAAAAAAAAAAACATTATCAATGCAAAATTAAGATTAAAGGTAACAGCAAATGAGAATATGAAAATAATCTAAGAAATTGAATGCAAAATAAAACTTACCAGCACCAACAGTCTATATTTAGTGTGTTTTTCCTATACTGTACCAAACCACTACAGAAAATTATCTCTAACAAGAAAAGTACATAATAATATTATCTAATAAAATCCTAATTTAAAATTGATATTAAATTTTTATAACATTAAAGTCAACAGGGCATCACATACTAGTGGTGCTCTCAAGTCAAAAATTGAAAACCTGGGAGAAATGTTAAGAAATTTTTTAAAAAGAGAAAGTGATCAATTTTAAGGGATATTCTTAAGTTCGCTAAAGATGTTAATGCATGTGCTAAAATAATGCTTCTCATTTCCAATACAGGAGATAAATTTAACCAGATAGCCTTTCTTTAAATAGATTAAAATAAAGTATTTCATACCAAGAATAGCAACCATAAAGCATAGAACACCAAAAGATCATATAAAATTGTTCTTCAAATACTAGGTTTTTCTATTAAGTATACCTTAATGCAGTTAACACTGCTTTTTCAGGAAAAACATGAGAAATAGAACAATCCCATATGATTGAAAAGTAAAGTTATACAGTCAAGATTTCAGAAATATTAAAAATAAAGATTATCCTTTAACCCCAAACAACCATGACTGAAATAGAAAATACCCAATTGCTAAATTACAACACTAATACAGCAAAGTAATAGGTACCAATGCTAAATGGTATTTGAAAGAAAACAGCTATTGTCTTAAGATTAAAAAGGAGCCAAATAACACCTGGAGAATAATCAGAGAACACTGTAAATGATGAATAAAGGTTTTAAGAGGTCTCTTTGGGTAAATGAACTTATTTCACAAAAGCAGAGAATATGCAGGAAGTGAAAAATGAGATAGAGAGGTAAAATGTGACATAGATGATTGGCTGGCTTTTAGATTGAACTTAAGACTTCCTAAGAGATTTATTTCTTGTTTCTTACCTATATAAAGATATAACTTGAAACAGTAAAAGAGTTTTAATGGTCAAATACTCCTAAGAAAGTAAGCTACAAAAGATGATTATTTTGGACTTTTGTGCCCACCATGGCTATCTGCTTCCAGAACACTTAAAGGCTGGAATAGGAAGAAAGACCCCCATGGCCATCCTCCACCTCCCTTCACTGCAACAGTCACAGCCTTGGTAATGGGAACAGGTAGAGAAACAAAGACCTTTGCACCTGTGCTTCCACAGTCACAGTCAGCAGAGCGCTGAAAGTCATATACTCCTCTAATTTAGAGAGAAGAAAAGGAAAAACAAAACCTTCAAGTGTGCCAGTATTAAAGCAGTCAGAGGTTAAGTCTCTCTATGTCCCACAGAATGTACCACTAGCCTGCAAGTGAGTGGAGAACTGGAATATGAAGGTTTGGGCCACTGTGCTTGGAAGACATCAGCTAAGTTACCCCTTGCATGAAATTGGAATAATCACAAAACCTTTCACAAATCATACAAGTAAGTAGGAATAAAATCAGCAAGCCAACTCCAAACCACTTGTTTATGCTAGCAAGTAATGAATATTCAGGAGACTAGAAAAATATGAAAGATATAAAGGTTCAAACCGAAGATATGGAATTTGAAAAAAAAACTAAATTTATTAATCCAAATTTATACTTCTTAATCAATAATCCAGGAATTCTTGAACAGAAACAAAAAAGCAGAAAGGGAAAGTAATTCAGGGTTATGTCAAGTGATAGCATTTAAACGTTACCAAGACTTAAAAGAAATTCGTTTGTATCATTTTAGAAGTCAATGCTTAATTCTGTCAATTCAAAAATTTCCAAAGATAAATCTATCATGTTGTAGAAAGGCATTTTAGAAATGATATTTTTAAAAATGCAAGTAACGCTATTATTTGATTTTCAAAAAGAATGGAAATAATAAAATGGCCTATGTAATTACCTAGGAAAATGTTTCTTTCCCCAAGGACTAATTATAAGATAATGGAATGCTGTTAGAGTAGAAGTGTTAGCAAAAATTGGATGCCACAACTTATCTCACCATTCCTTTCAAGCAAGTGAGGGTCAGAATGTTTCTTGCCTATATCTGCAAAAGATCGAACCAGGGGAATCCGACTGGTGAATCTTTTCTCATTCTGATGATGATGTCTCTTCAGAAGAGCTTCTCTGACGTTGTCTCTTATGGACTCATCCAGTTGGCCAGAAGCTATCATGTTGTCTAGCACCATATCTATTCAAAAGAAAAAATAGTAAGTCATTACTATGAAATAAACTGTAACTGAAACTTCACAAGAAAATAAATCTTTAAGCAGCTCTAGAAAGAATTTATTTGCATTGTAAATAGTGTGTGCATAATGACAAATATGAACATTAGCCAACAAAGAAGAAATGAGGCCCTCTTTCAATAAATACTACTATTTATAGACTACTGTTAAACAGTTGAAATTACATTTCTGATGCAGATATGATAAATTCTACTGAAATGAATATTCTGTAACAGTAACTCCCTAAAAAGTGAAGGTATTTTATTGCTTCACCTCACATTTCCCCCCAGAGGTGCTCTAGCAGATGAGCACATGGACTCATTCATACATTTATTTGCCAAGGACTGGCTATGTGCCAGGAAGACAGCAGTAAACACTTCGATCGAGTTTCTGCTATCCCTCTTCGCAGGTGGAAAATCCAATGAGCACAATAGCTAAATTATCTAAATTGCTGCCATCATTTCTTCAGACTATTCCCAGTAGACTTAATGGGCTCACTTGCTTCTAACCCCCACTCACCCAAAAGCCATATACACGGAGCTGCCAGGTGGATTCACCTGGTGCATGTCTACCTCACACAGCTCCAACTTACACAGCTATGGGAGCCCAGCTGCCACCCAAACACAATTCAGTGTCTCAACATGTAATTAGTATAGGTCATCTCTAATCTGTTGACTCATGCATCTCCTTCTATTATTCAAGAATCTGTATATATTTGCATGAAACTTTCCTGCAATTCAGACCTGTCTACATTCTCTAGAGTTGCCCTTCTTTTCCTGCTTCTTAAAATGTTTTTCTCTTGTGGTATATGTTTCTTGTTCTCAGGGTAGGTTGTGTAATTAAGGTATTCTGAACCCTCCTCAGATGCCTGGTCCAGAAAACAAAGCAGCAAAGAAACTCCTTCTCTATTTCCAGAGAACAAACTGCATCTCCTGCAGAATGAGCCATTTTCTTCCTGATAGTTATATGTCTAAATCTTTGTAATTCCAGACTTTATTAGACAAAAAGTGTGATTTATATTAGTAGTCCTCATGCTGCACAGAATGGAAACTCCACACAGTTGTTAAAACAATAGTCTAAAAGTACACTTTCCTTATCTAATTATCCCTAATTTCAGTAGAATTTAAATATAAAAACACCAATTTTCTATAACCTGCTATTTCATCTAGAGTGCTTGCTCTCATATCCAGCATTACTGTTCCATTTAGGATGCAACTTCTTAGTTCAAAAAGACTGTGCAAAGAGAGAGTTGCCACATAAGGTTTACTCCACCGGTCACCACCATCTTCAACATCCTCTTCAAATTTCAGCCATCTGAATTAGAAAATATAAAAAGTTTATATAAAATGACAATTTAATTTGTTTTCAGAAACTCAAGACAAGAAATGTATTCTTTTAAAATTCCACTATTTGTTCCTTCACAGAGAAATAAAGATAACCAACACCAAAATAAAATTTAATTACAAACATTTTTACAAATTAGGTCAGTGGTCTATTATACCTACAGTTAAGTTACCTTTGAAGCTCCTCTTTTTATTCTAGTTATCACAGTAAGTTTACAAAAGCAAACGTAGAACTTTATACTTTGAAATTCTAATCATCTTTAAAAGATTTTGAAACTTCTTTAATCAAAGACATGAAAATTTCTTCTGTGTTATAATCAAGAATTAAGGATTGCTTAAGTAAACAAATATTGAGGAGACAGAGTAAACCTAAAGATATAATTTACAGGCACAACGTAATTCTCTGTTCACTATTTTTAAACCACAAGTTCAATTATAAATGCTCATTATAAAAAGAAATCAAATAAAGTTATTATTACCTGGCAGTTTCTTTCCACTCATACTCTTCCCCATCTCTGTAGCACAGTTCATCCATTTCCGTGAAGAGATCATGTGGAATATGTTCTTCATCATCATCTTCAGTACCAAGGATAAACTGGACTCTCTGGGATGGTGTGTCTTGACAAAATAACAATTTAAGTAGATTCAAACTTTTCCTCAATGCGTTAAAACACATTGATAGTTTTGAAAGTGAAATGCTTATTATAAAATAAATCTATTCCCTCAAAACTCTTTTCAGTATTATTAATATACCACTAACTCTAAAAGGTAACAAGAACCAATAATCCAGAAAAAAGGAGTAGCGCAAAAAGATCTGAGACAAAAAAGGAAAATGTTTATAGTAAATAGAAAAATTAATCTTACAACTGATGTAAAATAAAAAGCCAATATCAAGAAATGTGAGATTAATAGAAATCCTGTCCTTCAACAGATAATCAAATCAGAACACTTTTTTTTTCCACCGATAACCAAGAAATCCAGCGTAGTAGATAAAATCTTCAGGCATAAAAATTTTTTAAAATGAAAAAAGTTTCAATCATTTTCAAGAGCCTGATGATTCCACATATCTATTCACTGCATATTTAAAAAGTAAAAATACACAATAGAGAAAAGGAAATAAAATATCCCCAAATTAAAGTTTAAATGCCAAGACTTAAATTCTACAATTCTAAAGCAGGACTACAATGAAAAAAACAAAACCCCCTACTTTATTCCACATACTCCAAACAGATTTTAACCTATGAACTGAATACTTTCTTACAGAAAGAAAAATATTCTTTTTCAATTCATATTCCTCAATGTATACAATGTGTCAAATTAATGCAGCAGGCATAAAATTTGAAAAAAGAAATGCTGAGTTAGAAAAGCTTTCCAGGAAAAAAACCTTGAACTATTTTCTCTTACCATAAGAAGGAGATTCCCGTCCATCTTCTTTATCTGAGTCTTTATCTTTTCTTTTCCGGTGATGATGTTTGTGTCCACGATGTCGATGCCGTCGACGACTCTCTTTACTAAATGGGACATGCACACCGACATATACGGCTCGATGACCTAGCAATGATTTGGTAACATGTCATGGTTTGCCAAAAGGGAAAAAAAGTGATTGCATAAAAGTATGCCTCAGTTTACCCTATAACATAGAATTCATGTAATTAACAAAGCTGGTCTCCTGCTATTTCTCTTATTTTATGGAGTACTACACAGAATGTTGCACCAAGAACTAATACCATTGACTAGTAATAAATATGTTGGCTATACAGATTGCTTGTATAATAATCAGTCTGCACATCTAAAAAGACATTTTGAGGGGCCTCCCTGGTAGCACAGGAGTTAAACACAACACTAAGAAGCTATCAGAAGCCACTGTAGCACAAGTTAGATCCCCAGCCAGGGAGGTGACCCACATGGTGCAGAAGACTGCTCCTGTCTCACCTACTGCTCCCCTCAGCAGTGTATTTCAGTACATCTACCTATTCTGTTCCCCATTCTGTTTCTGATGAATCCTCTCGCCTGTACCCTAGTTCTTGCATGCATAACATACAGAACTGGGGTACAGGGCAGAGGCTCAGCCAGAGACAGAGTGGGGAGCAGAACAGGCAGATCGACGAAGTACACTGCTGAGGGGAGCAGCGGGCGGGGCAGGAGAGGTCTGCCGCGCCGTGTGGTCACCTCCGGGGCAGGAGGGAATGGAACTCATGCGGAAGTGGTTTCAGCTTCTTAGTGCAGTGCTTTAACCCGCTGCACCACCAGGGAGGGCCTAATAAATCTTTTAAAGTAGGTATTTTGAAATAAAACAGCTTGATCTATCTAAAAGTTGTATGATATGGACATAAGTTTATTTCATCTACACGTATAGTCCACATTTGAGATGTCCTAAATAGCTATACTTTAATAATGATTAAATACTTTATAGCCACAAATGGATAGTCTCAATTTTTTTTTTTAAGATTTATTTATTTATGCTTACAGAACTGGGGTACATGCCAGAGGTGCAGGAGCGGTGAGAGGATTCACCAGAGACAGAGGGGAAAAGAGCAGGCAGACTGACAAAGTACACTGCTGAGGGGAGCAGCAGGCAGGTCAGAAGAGGTCTGCTATATGGGTCAGCTCCCTGGCTGGGGAATCGAACTCATGCTGCAGTGGCTTTGGAGAACTTCCTAATGCGGTGCTTTAACCAGTTGTGCCATCAGGGAGAGCCCAGTCACAAATATTTTTTAAAGTTTTGAAAAATCTCAAATTAGTAAGGTACAAATTGCTGAGACCTATATTAAATCTAAATAGCCCAAATAATCCAATCCAAGGGTAGGAATTGTTAGGCAGGATTTAAAAAATGAAAAAAAAACAATGCAATAAGGCTATCATATACTTTTAGAACAGAAAAAGCTACGACTGGTGTTTCATCATATTGACCAACAAAATAACTGTTTTTGAAAGATAATCTTTCCTTCTTCCCACTAAATTAAATTGAATCAAGGAACCAAAAAGCCAGCAGCATCATGTTAAACACTGAGGGGCATGAGTTAGTTTAAAGGAGGTTCATTATAAGGTATACAACAAAAATTAATTATCAACTATGCAAAATATATCTGGCATAGGGGTGTTTTTATGCCCTTAAGTAACATAAAAAATGCTGAAGTATAAACAATGACATTTCTTCTCTAACAAACTTCAGTAAATGGTGAGAAAATAACATACTTCAAAAAAACCATGATCTTCAACTTTAGACGAGAGTTGAAAATAGAGCCAATCCTTATTACTTGTGGATTAAGTATCTGAAAATTTGCTGACTCCCTAAAATTTATTTGTAACACCACGATCAATAGTTGTGATGATTTCTCACTCATGTACACATAGGCACAGATCAGTAAAAAAATGTCTCCTGACACTCAGCTAAGTCTGAAAAGTGGGATGACACTCTTACTAGTTTCCGATGCTAATATATTAAAGACAAGCAATCTTTTTAACTAAAAGCAACTGAGTAGACCTAAATGAAGATTGAAAGAAAAATTACTTATTTGAACATCTCCCAGCACTGTTTACTATGTGATAAGCACTTGATGAAAATTTACAGATATTAAATACCAATTAAACAAATATTATATAATAGCCCAAATTTAAAAGCTAATTATGTAGGGTAGTGGAAATACTTCAGAATTAAGGGTGGTGATCACTGCACAGCATAGTAAATATACTAAAAAACTCTGAGTTTATACACTTTAAGATGGGGAATCTTGTCACATGAATTATATCTCAGTAAGTGAAAAAAACTAACAACTTAACTGATTTACAATTTTAATCAAACTATTCTCCTATCAAGAAAAGTGGAAATCAGAGAGTCAAACTTTTGCCATTGTGTACTGGGAATTAAAAAGTTGTTACTCCAATTAGTACTAATAATGAGTTTTGGCAAACAAGTCCCAATGCACCAAGACAAAAAGCATCCATGAGTCTGTAACTTAGAAAAACCAGATGAACTTAGTAAGAATATGGCAGAACTCAAAAGTTGGGAGGGCAAGCCTTATTGTTTTCTTGCTTTTATTATCTCCCTGTGTTCTAATTTTTCCTTGCCCCTTTACTTTATTCCACCAAAGGCCTATTCAGTTGTACTCTAAAACAAATAATCTCTTCCTCAAACTTGATGATGAAATTTAGATAGTACAAGTATGCAAAATGAGAGCACTGAGGTAACCAAAGGAGCCAAAGATACCTCAGCTGCCTCTCTTCAAGGTTCAGGTCACATGTTAATTAAGGATGACATTAAATTATAATGAATGAAATTAATCACCATATATTTGAATTAATAAAATTATAGCTAAAAATGTTACCTTTGTTAGTCTTTATAATCAGAGTTAATACAAATTTTGAGAGATTACTGAGATTCTTTCCAGACTACATAGCAAGTCTAGACTTCTAAAGTTTATTTTAAAAGTGAGGAGCTTCACTTGTTCTAGAAAGTAAATGTAGAGAGCACTCATTTGGATGTGTTTCTGTCTCCCTTTTAAAAGCAACGGAGTGATGTCCCTAATAAGGCTCAAGCTCTCTCAGAGGACTTCAAGAATGTAGTTATCACAAAGACCCAAAAATGAATCTATCAAAACATGTGACATGAACACTAACTTATCCAACTGCACAGTTACGATACGTCACTTATGTGGTATGCTCCCCAAATATCCACAATCTCAGTCTATTAGTGTAACATTAGACAAACACAAATTTGAAGACATTTTAACAAAGTATCTAGATACCACTCACCAAATTGTCAAGGTCACGAAAAGCTATCATAACCTAAGGCGACATGACAACTAAATATACTTTTGGATATGGAATTGTTCAACTGAATCCTGGAACAGAAGAAATCAGTGGAAAAGCTAGTGAAAATCTAAATAAAACCTGTATTATAGTTAATATTATCAAACCAAATGCTAATTTCTTCATTTTTCAGCTCATGATAGTTATGTAAAATGTTAACACTAGAAAAAGTTGGGCCAAGGATATACAGGAACATTCTGAACCATCTTTGCAACTCTTCTGTAAATCTAAAATTATTTCAAAAGAAAAAGAAAAAAATGAAGCCATTTGCCAGAATTTCTTCCTAAGAGAGGGTAAGTTGCCAAAGAAGTCATTTGCTCCACAATTCTACGCTGAGGTTATTATAACATTTTAAAAAGCTGATCAGATGTCACAAACCTATAAAAGGAAATTTATATAATAACTGTGGCTTATTAGTTTGAATCTAATTTGCTCATAAATACCAATTAGCTAGCCTTTGCAAAAGAAAAAAATATATGCGCAACTAAACGGTTTTTGTAACGGTGACATGGCAATATCCAGATAAATAATGGTAACCATAAGTGAAATTTGAAAAGCATTCTAAATCTGTTACACCAATACTATCAACAAAGAATTAAAAAATCTGAGAAAGTTATATATTCAGATATCAGTGAATGTTAAATAGGCCTTTACAATATTATTATTTTTAAACAATATTCAGAAAAGTTTAAACACTTCACTAAGCTGAAGTTATTTTAAACCAGACTTACTTTCTAGTTCTTCTTTTTCAAACTTGGTGTTGACAGTTGAGCTTGTTTTGCCAAGATCGACAACAGCTTCTTCATCTGGACCCTGTAAAAAAAAAAAAAAAAAAAATCATCCACATTCACTCATAAGTCAATATATACTAAGGACCTAACAAGAGGTAAAAAATTTATAATAACCAAAACTGTATTTTTTTCTTCTCATGGGACTTAATTCATATTATTGCTAACTGCAGGCTGAATATGCAGTGCCACTTTCACTTGTAAGCAAGCCAGATTCAAGGTTTATGTTTTCTTTTTTAACTAAGTAAAGGTCATGCCAAAATTTAACCTCTAAAGAGAGTTTAAGTTTTGTGCTGTGAGAGTCTACATTCGTAATTTTGTTCCTATTTTCAACTCAACGAAGACAATACTGATAAAAACTGCAGACTATTCTTAAGAGAATTTTATCTTTAACTTCCCCTTCTCAACTTCTACTGAACAAAGAACACTATAAACATCATGAAATACGTGTTATGAACTTGTAAGATTCTGTGCATGGATTGAAAAAGAGGAACAAATCCCCCACCCTCAACGCCTGTGACCAGAGTTCCAGCTCATTCTGGACCCTTGTCCAGCAGAGGTCTACTGAAGGGTGCAAGATAAGTGTTACTGAGGGATGCAAGATAAGTGTGGCCTCCTAACCTTCACTGGTGCTTCCTTGCACCTTGTCAGACACAGTTCTCATAAAGGTGCACCAACAGATGCACCCAGAGTCAATGAGCAGGGCTGAGGAAGCCGCCAGCCGCCCTTCCAGCTCCTCAGGAAATGCTGCTACATTCTAAGTGACAAAGCCTACAGACCAGGGTACAGTGAGCAAGGATTCTTGTGCTCAATCGACCTGGGACTGGGGGCACTTGGCAGGTGGCCAGTCAAGGTTTTGAACAGATGGATGCTAAGTTCTGAAGAAAAGCTGGTCGATGTGAAACAGGCCTATCACCATCAAGGGTAATGTGGATTAGCTTACAAAGTCTGTGCTCTGTGTATGTGCTGACAGGAAACTCAGAAGGTGGAACCTCAGTCACCAAGTCATTCAATATCAGATGGTCCTTAAAAAAGCTCTGGAAGAAGCTTAGGAAGCTTAGGAAGAAGTTAGGGAACCAAAAAGGAGAGAAGGGAGGGCTGGGCTGGAAGAGTAAGTGACTTGAATGTAGACATTCAGGGCAGGCACAAAGATGAGCTGTAAGAGGAAATGGACGTTGTTCTAGCGCAGACAGGAAAAACACTACAAACTTTCCAGAGCAGGAAGGGAAAACACTTTCAAGAAAGAAATAATCTAATCCATTATACTCAAAGGTCCTTATGTTTTAAATGGTACCTTATAGACAACATGGACAACTGGAGATGAGAAAACTAAATAACTAAATATTAACTACAACAATACTCCACCGAACATCATTTCTTCTAGAATGAAATTACTTTATTACTCTGCTTATAAACCTCAGCCATGCCCATTCTGTAGCTGAGCTCTCTGCCAGCATCTCCCCAGCACTCTTAGGTCACCTGAGGGAGTTCAGCTTCTTGCCACTCCCAGTGTCAAGCTTAAAATGGAGGACCAGTTTGTTTTAAAAATACCATGTAAATGGGGTTGAATGATCATTTTAGGTCTTCTCTCTAACTTTTGATCTAAAATATTATACTACTGTAAGTATATTTTTCCAGCATACAAACAGTAAATTCATATACGGTTGTTCCTACTATCCAAACTTTGATTTGTCCATATCCTCTTTAAAACTCTGATTTGAATTAAATACTCAAGTAAATTCCCTGCCATCCAAACTTCATCTCTTTGCTACGCAAAGCTCAGACTCTGACATAGTACAGTAAGAAAACAGATACCCAAACTTACTTTCTAGAAACCCAGACTGTAGGATCAAAAAGATCTAGATCTCAAGAGGTACTTGGTATAAGTCTGAAGGGATCGATGTTCAATTTCAAATAGGAAACTCAAAGAAGTTAAATGACTGCCTAAGACACCAGGTAGAAAGAAGTGGGAAACAGGCCATGAGAAACAGGCCATGAGAAACAGTCACAAAATGGACTAAGAAGCTAGACAGACACCAATGCATATGGTTAATCAAACTGCCCTCAGGAGCTAGTAATGAGGAATGGCTGACTCAGGAAACAAACAAACAAATACCCACACAAAACAGAGTCAAAAAAGAGCAATTAATAATTACCATCCAGTAAGCATGCCATACTTTATACCCTGTAGCTTTCCTCCCCTAACTTCATATCATTTAGTCCCTAAGAATGCACAGGCACAAAAGATAAATTGTCTCCTAACCAAAAGATGCGGAAGTCTTATTATCCTAAGAGGCAGCACATGGTATATTTCAAAAGGGATTAACTGCTCCCATTCCAAGCTTTCAGTTGCCTGAACAATGGCCAACATAGGAAGAAAAACAAAACACAACACTAAGTTCTCAAACCTAAACAAACAAAAAAAGGTACAAAGAAATAACTATGGTGATATTTAAAAGTAAACGTTTAGATACACTAACAACAGTAATTAGCTAACAGTCAACAAAAGCTTAAGTTGGGCAATCTCACAATTTATTTTTATTGAAAATACACATATTCTTTGACCTCTAAAGACCTATAATAGGAAAATATTACATGGTTGACCAGTTTGTTCCCATTAAAAATTATCTGTGAAGACTTAAAAGTCAAGAAAGAATATTATTGTACTGTAACTGTTTGAGCTCTCAACAGTTTTTCTGTATAAAATTGTATAACAAACTAAAGTTAAAAATTTAAATTCTAAAAATTTAGAACACTAGCATTGTTAAAAGGGAGGTGGGAAGGGGACATCTGCATTTTTCCCTTCTCTTAAAAACCGTATCTAGCTTTTCGAAGTCTGTGAAACGTAAGTCTGCTATATATAAATATTAAGTAAGCCACACAAATCTGGCTATTTTGATGTTCGCGTAATTCAGCAAAGTCTGCCCCATGTGAAAGCTGTGGAGTAAACCAAGTCACTGGTCTTTGCCATGGTAACATTTCTGAAACAAACACTGTATTCAAGGTCCCATGATTCTTGATGAATGCTATAAGCCATTTGCTAGATATAAAGTTAATACTCTACGCAGCAAGCTAATTTTGTCTTACTTATTAAAATATGTAAGTACATATTAATATCTGGAAGACTAAACAGCAAACTCCTATCACTCTCTCTCTCAGTGGGAGAACAGTGAGGAGCAACATATTCTGCAGTGTTTAAATTTTTATTACAGGTTTTACTTTTAGCAATTTTTTAAAAAGAAAAAATTCAAATATTAATCTGTTAATATGTAAGTTCATATTTACATTTATATCTAGAAAATAAAAAGCTTCCTCATTTTTTAACTCACAGAACACAGTGGAAAACTAAAAATAGCTCTGGCTAAGAGCAACCCCTGACATTAAAATGTTCTCACTCTTAACCTCACAAGTTGTGTCACACAACCCTGTGCTTACAAAGCCTACCTAAAGGAACACAAAGCCACTGAGGAAACTCATACCCAAAAGTATAAAAATGCACCCAAAATCTATCAAGGCAAAATTAACTCACTCTGGGCCCTCTCTGGTGGTGCAACAGGTTAAAGCACAGCACTACAAAGCTAGCCACAGCCACTTCAGCAGGAGTTCAATCCCCAGACAGGGAGGTGACCCACATGGCACAGCAGACTTCTGACCCAAGCGCTACTCCCCTCAGCAACTCACTTGGTCAATCTGCCTGTTCTCTCTCCTCTCGCCACCCCTACACCTCTGTCCTGTACCCCAGTTCTGTATGCATAAATAAATCTTCCCAACACAACATGACATTGAAGAGACTTTAGAATTTTCTGTGAGATAATAATCAAGTTTAAATTCTCTTTCTATGAAATGACATGTGTACAAGGGGTTATTTATTGCAGCTTGTAAGAGGCAAGACTAGAGGTAATTCAAGGAATGTGGATATGTGCCAATCAAATACTGAGCTACTGAAAACAAAATGAGGACTAACTCTATACTGGTATGAACATGTCTAAGACCCATTATAAAACAAAATACTCATACTACCACAATCACACAATGTGATAATCATATGCTACTTTTTGTGTAAGTCCCCAGAACAGGAATTTACAAAACAAAACAAAATTTAATTTACAAAACAAAAACACTGGAAGAACATCCAAGAAAAGAATAAAACTAGTTATCTCTGGCCTTAGAGGAAAACTTCTGTAATTACTAAATTTTCACAGTGCTTTGATTTATTTATCTTAACTGTGTAAATAGTTAGACTTAATTATGTTATCTTTTGAAACAACTTCACCTATCTCTGTTGGTCCTCATCTACAGGTAGAGGTATAATACTCACCTGGACAAAACTGGATTAAGATACAAAGTACCAAGGACAAGTGTATATCCCACAGAAGACGTGGGTCAACTTTCACTAAATCTCAGCTGTTCAATGTTGCAATAAAAACAATTTCTCATCTATCATGCAGCTTTAAAACTACACTAAATAAAGGAGATGTGATTACAGAAACAAATGTTGTTAATTTGCTAATCAAAACTAGTATGAAGACTTAAATTTTATCCTAAAACAGCATTATAGTTGTACAGGACAATTATTCATAGAAAATATAAATTAAGTATCTAAGATGAAATGACAAAATTCTACTAGTTTTCATAAGGCTCTAAAACAATTGCTGTAACAGATTTTTAGGTTTTATGATATATTTAAATTCAGATAAACCTAGACAATTTACCAAATTTAGCTTTGCCCTATTTAAGAGATGCTAGTTCAGTAGTTTAAGGTGAAGTCCAACATCACCATTTAAAAAAACCTCTTCATGTGATTCTGATGTATACACTGAATTCTGAACACCAAAGTCCTTGAATGATGGTAAAGATCTAAGACCTATTTATTTAAATTGTTCATCAATAGAGGCTGCTTCATGCCTTAATTTCAGGTCTGACCCGCACCACTGTTCACTCCCACTTAAACTGTTTCAACCCTTCAGAAAGTGAAAAGCTCATTCCAGTTCAAGAGAAAACACTCTGAAGTCACTATACACTTTC